TTTTGTCTTAAATATTGGTTATGAGAAGCCCATCTTTTCCCAGTAAGATCACAACATCAATGTTGATTTAAATTGACAAATAATTTGTGTTTTCAATGTCGAAAACATTGGATGATATTGAGTTAGAGACTTCGCTACTTTAATTCACAAGCCCCACTGTTCTTATTGGACGAATAATGATAAAACCTTTTTTTTAATGAGGCAACTTACTTAGCTTGAAACAAACTAATCTTCCATTAGTTACTCGTAAACTACAATAGTCTAATGGAAGAACCTTGTTTATATCAGAGTGATAGCTGTCTATTACTTCTATTCTCTGATTAAAGACAAACTAAACCAGAATGTCATCTCATAAGTTTTACTGTTTGTACAGCTAACATCACTAAACATAAGCCTTACTGTTTGTTTGACAAGTTAACATCAGTAAACATAAGCCTTACTGTTTGTACAAATAACATCACTAAACATAAGCCTTACTGTTTGTTTGTCCACCTAACATCACTAAACATTTTTGACTATACTGCATATACTTCAAGTCAGACATGTCTAATTCAAAGTTAAGCTCCTTTAATGAGAGAGAGAGAGAGAGAGAGAGAGAGAGTTTAACATCCACTCCTAGGTCATTTCTTGACTAACATATGGTTCAATTTTATTTCAATAATTTGCTTTAGCAGTGGGAGGAAACCGGAGGACCCATAGAAAACCCACAAGGTTGGAGAGCAACCCTACTACTTGTCACATATAACCGGGGAATCGAAACCACATCGAGTACTACAGCTATGAGAGAAGTGAATAGTGGAGAAACAGAAGAACATCTGTAATTATAACAGCTGTTAAAATAATTTTCTATGATTGTAAATCTGACAATATGTCTGTTTAATTTCAAACCAATATAAATATCTTATTTATAAACATTATAAACTGTAAAGATAGGGCCATCTGAACCACTTTAAGCAACCATTGACACATATCAATGGTGTAATGTACAACTTCCAAGTGGCACTAATAATTTGGAATTTGTAGGAGAACGCCACAAATTGAAAAACTATCAAAGTCGGTGAGTGATCTGAAGCTAAAACTGTTCATTTCTAATTTTTTTTTTTTTTAAACAATATTTTTATTCAGGTTGTGTGAATGGGATTGGGGAACAGGCTTAGCCTATGTAAAACCCCTTTCCCCAAATAATTTGTATATATATATATCATTAATGCAAAATGTGTGTATATACATAGTTATAAAGACAAACACATACATATTATATAAGTATAATAAAATATAATGGGTGAAAATGTACAGAATATATAGTAGTTAATAATTATACATATACAACCATAGCAAGAATTTTTAAAAATAGGCAACATTAGAGAGACTAGCCAAAATTATACATAAAATAGACGATAAAATATTAATTGATCGAGTTTAAAATCTATTTGACATATCTATAAACTTATGGACCTGGTTAAAAATATTAGTGTTAACGTCAAGACTGTAGGTTGTGGATCCAACCACGTGGGTTTTCTCCTGGTCCTCCGGTTTCTTCCTACTGCCAAAGACCCCTACACACAAGCGAATTATTGAAATAAAATTGAACCATGTGTTAGTCCCGAAATGACCTAGTTTGTGTCAAGTGGACAATAAACCCTCTCTGTAGGTTGTGGAACCAAATAAAAGACAGTTTATATTTTTAAAATCATGTTGCAATTTGTCTATGGTTTCTGTTTGAGCATTTGAATGTAAGGAACATCACAGAAGGTAATGGTCGGAATCTTTAAATATATGACAGCAGAGGCATGCGTGACTTTCGGCAACATGTCTTAGGAATTTGTGACCCTGTAGGTCAGAGCATCGAAGTCGTAATTTGCAATGAATTATTTGAGGTTTCCGCTGACCATTATAATAAAACGAAGGAACTTTAATATCATATTTGGATAGATGATCAGAGAAAATTTTCTGAGTTCTAGAATTCCTTGCAGGGGTACTGAGTTTATTCCACTCCCTTATGCTGGATGGGATAAATGATTTAGCAAAAATGTCAGTACGGCATCGAATTTCTTTTAAATTGTCTTCATTACGAAGGGAATATTTGTTTGTAGGTTCAAGGTTTATGAGATTCTTAAGATAAGAGATAAGGAGGAGTTAGGTTATTGATGGTTTTGTAAAGTAGTTTTAATCTATGTCGATTTCGTCTCTCTTTGAGTGGAATAAACCCAGTTTCTGCGTAGAGAGAGGCATTGCTAGTACCCTTAACTGGCCCGCAAATAGTGCGTAGTGCGTCAAGCTGAAGGTATTCGAGATTATAACATAAGTAGTCAGTGCACCCGTCCCAGATAACATCGGCATAATCAAAGTGCGGCAGAATGAAGGAAGAATATAGGGTACATATTAAAACGATATTTCAAGGAGCGAAGACTGTTTACTAATTTTGATACTTTGCTAATTAAACTATCAATGTGACTGTTCCATTTACAATTGCTTTGAAAGATAAGTCTGAGGTGTTTATGGTCAGTAACTTCCGATATTCCTATTGAGTTTATTAAAAGGGGTAGTTTCACAACTGCGTTTAGTGGAGAGGGTTAAAGTTTCTGTCTTGAGGGGGTTAAATGTCACTAGCCATGTTTCCGCCCACGAATTGATTGCTTCGAGATCTTTGTTTAATGTAAGTGCGCATGCCTCTGGGTCATCTATTTTTAGGTACAGGGAGGTATCATCAGCAAAAAGTCGGATGTTCAATTGTATATTATTTACAATGTCGTTTATATATATTTAAAATAATAATGGTCCCAAAACGCTGCCCTGGTATATTTGTTATGATCAATGACTTGACAAAAGAAGTGATTTAGATCTATTAATTGGAAGATAGTTGAATCACCCGGAAGAAAGTCACTTTGAAATTGTACAAACACAGTAGATTTATGGCAATTTATGACTCAAAATCACATTACAACTGAAGGAGGTGGAAAATTAGTAACTTGATGGAAGTCTATTAGTGAATCTCATGATTGCCCTTTATCCAATGGTTACCTTCTGACTATTGCTCATATGTTGTGTAGTGCAGTCTTTCTAGAACACTTGATACCACTTCTTCCATTATTCACGTGGACAAAGGTAACCATAGTCAATGAAAACCACAGTGTTACTATGTAAATAAGTATAAATATACTATGGTGTCCATCTCTTTGCAATGACATGATTTATGAAGAGTCCTAAGATGGACGAAAAGTACTTTAAAATGTAATCCTTGAGTGGCATTTAGTGATTGAGCACATTAAAAACACAACACAATTTATATGGAATACAATCACTGTGTATAAACCATTGATTGTATTCCATATAAATTGTGTTGTGTTTTTAATGTTAAAATGTTATGAAACCAGTGATGAAATCAGTTTGTGTCGGCATACCTTTTATCTTTTCATCGATAACTGTGAAACAAAGCGGAGCAGCTTTACGGATGTGCTAATATGTTTGGATATATACGAGTACATATTTTTTATTTATTTATATAAACAAAAAAGTACATAAAGTACAAGTACTTCTTATATATATATATAGAGAGAGAGAGATTGAGAAGTCGACTACACATAATTGAACTATATTTTATATACTTCACATCAAGCAATTAATGACTGACTAGATACAATCTGCTCAAAGTTCAAATTGGTCATAAAGGAGCAAAATGCTTTTGATTTAGGTCAAAAGAAAGTGTTGAATAGAGATGATATGATATATTATTGTTATTAATTAGGGCAAGCTTTACAATACATAGAGTCTATATCATATAGAGTATTTATGATTACATATTTATGTTACTGGAATATAAAGACAAAAGATGACATCATAGTAATGATCTAATGATTTGTGTTTATAGAGAAAATTCATTACGATTTTCTCGCGTGGTTTCTCCTTTTCAGTGGTGCAGGATGGAGGGCCTGGCAAGAGATAACGTATATTTGTTAGAATGAGATGAAAAAACCGAGGTAATATGTACACAGTCAATAGACTTCTTCCTCTCATTACCAAGCTATTAGGATTTGGTGAAATACACATGCCCTTGAATTGTGAAAACAATGTGACAAGTTATATCTATTAATCCAATTTGTGTTCATAAAGGATGGGATCAAAATGGTTCTGTAAATAAACCAATTGTTTACCCCAGTATTTCACATATTATATCTCCATGATGATAAATAGGATTTATTGACTGACATAATGTGTAAGATAGTCATGATGTAAAACAAATTACATCTAATACATCAGATTCGGTCAAAATGTTATTTTCAATTTTAATTTGTTAAATAACCTGTCATTTCAAAGTCCCTTCAGGTCATACAACTATTAATATGTACAACTGCTGATCATAATGCATTCTATGTTCATCATACAGTTAATAAAATAAAACAAAAATATCAATAATAGATAATCTCCTGGCATAGATTCGATCTAATTAAAGAGTCCCATCAAAAAATATTAACTAGCATGTCTAGCTAGTTTATATCCTTTGCAATGCAGACAGTGAGATAGACAGACAGAGAGAGAGAGAGAGGGTGGGTTAAACATTTACTCCACACAAACTAGATCATTTCGTTACCAACATATGGTTTAATTTTTATTTCAATAATTCACTTACAAGCAGGGGTCTTTAGCAGTTGGAGGAAACCGGAAAACCAGGAGAAAAACCCACAAGGTTGGACTGGAGATCCTTCACCTTGCCACATACAAGCGGGGAATCGAAATCATGTTGCTTGACTCAATGACAGACCATGTGATTTCACGCACACACATCAAACCACTAGACCAACCAATGGAAGCGTCAATGTTGCAGAATTTTCAAATCATCATATCATTGTAAGTGTAGAATAGAATGGAAGTATTAATGGACTGATATTCCTTTTAAAGATTCAACTTTCACAATATTGTAGTTTACAAAACTCTTTAAATAACGATAAGCAGCTTTAAAGAAAATAATTTAATCCTAGCCAAAATATAAAAGTATTACTTACTCTTTTCCATAGAAAGGTGGTTTGGCTACCTGTAAAAAATATAATTCACACATTACTATCACAATCATAACCCAACAACATAAAGAGTTAAATTCCAGCTGGTCTGTGGCAAGAGAAAACTTTATCCAGTACAAACCACTCTGACTCTGGCTGTTTCAGTAATCAATTTCAGGTTGATCATTATTTTTTTTTAAGTAAAACACATATCATAAACAGATCCTGGCCACTAAAATAGTCAAAGAAAACATACACCAATACACATATTAATATCTGATGTACTGGTATGTCATTTGAAATTCATCCAGAAACCAGAAGAAATTAATTGATTGCACGAGTCATATTAATCTATGCTATTTTATGCATCTATAGAATTAAATAAATCAGGGAAAACAGATTAAATAATGTAAATCTATGAATTCATGTACAATGTTTGTAGCTTAAAAGCCATCATAGTGATCTAGGCTATATCATGTTACAATATACATTGACATTAAAGTACATTTTTCACTAAGAAGAATACCGTTTCGTTAGCTTGATCTTAGTATTACTTTAATCATGGACTGGCCATGATTTAATATACATCAAATCTTGATGTATACAAGGAATCAACAACTAAATCAGTCCTCTCTGTGAAAAAATATAAATTGAAAATAAAAAAAACCCTGTAGTCTGACTTACCTCTTTCTGGCAGATAATTCGATGTGGTTTGGGGGCTTCCTGTTGGAGTGTGTATACTGAAATAGTTGATAGAAAAATATTGATCTTTCTTACAACTGATTCTATCTACTAATCTTTAATAACATCGCCAGCTTCAATTTGACTCCAGTCATTTCAAATATTTAGTCGCCAGCCGAGGAATGGATTGAAGCTGAACATCTCGTTAACACAATACTTGGGTCATCTGAGACTAACATGCCATGAATACATGTGTAAAGGCCTGTGCACACTAAGGATTATTTGTTGTTGACGGCGTGATTTATCATCTGTCGCAGCAAACACAAACTTATTTCCTGCTGCTGATATTTCGTTACTAATGATTTGTCATAAAAAGCCCCCCCACCTCATCTTTTAGCTTACGGAAGATTAATCTATACCAAATTGTATAACCTACTTCAAAGGCTTTTAAACAATCTTCATTATAAAAGCGTATATTTGGATATAGATTTTATCATCCTTGATAGTTTGTTGGTGATGGATTGTCTGCCAATAGTGCACAGAACGAACAAAAGGATTATTGTGTCAAAAAATTACATCTTACGAAAGAACAGAAGTGTTTTTTCACATGTTGCTCCAACAGATTGGAATAAATTATTGATGAAAGTTAAGAACTCGCCTGCTATAGAAGTGTTTAGATCCAGTCTCAAATCACTTTTTTAAAATAAAAACATTTACTTTGAGCATTCTTTATGGAAACAAGGAAACAGCACATGGACTTTCATACTATTATTATATAGCAATGTAGGCCTAGTGATTGAAGCTTTGTGGGTTTATTCTGCAATTTTCTCATACAATTTTATTTTTTCTGACCATCATACTGAATATCATACTTTCAGATAAAAAAATTAATTTGTGGGTAAAAGAGATGATCTAATTATGCTTGAAGTACTGCATCTTTAAATATCTTATTGTTAGAGTAATTCACATTTTGGATGAATTAGTCATCCATGTACAGGAAACTGTATCATATTTCTTAAAGATCTATCCTTCAACTTGCAAGTTCTTGTATTTATCATACATGTGACTATGATCGGAAGATCTACACTCAAAACGCAGTAAGAGAAATAAATAGCACGCTACCCTAATTTACTTGACTACAATTACACATATGGTTAATATGTTAAAGATACATTATGGGAGATTAGATAAAGAGCTGGCAGTTCTCACTATAATAGTTACAAACTAGATAATGTAAAGGGAATTTGCTGAAAATTTCAGTCAAATTGATCCATTCAGAACCAAAATTTTAGCGATTGAATTTTCAGCCTTGCCTCGATCATCCTTACTAAAGTCGGTACGATAAAAAACATAGTCTCGATTATCCATTTCATGATTAAATTATGAATGAAAGTTTAGCAGCAAATCTGATCCTAATCCAATAAATATCGCAAGCTAGTGTTGACATCGAGAGTTGATTTTGGTCTGGATAAGTTAATTAATGTCTAATTAATAATTGAGATAACATTTCAGGCCTAAAAAAGACCTGCAATAGGCAGATTTAGCTCTTGCATAATGTACTTGACCCTTGTGTTAAATGTTCTAAAACATTGGATTAACTAGCGTATAGCCAAATATTGGCATCTTTAACGTTGATTATTGAAAAACAAAAATAGATTCATGTACACCTGTAAAACTAATATAATAAAGGAAGATGATGAGACAGTTATGATAAAATTATGAAAACAATATAGCATAACCATTTCCCCAAACAGTCATGATCCGTAAAACTATCAACTTGGCAGAAACTGTTCGTGTATAAATGATTTGAGGGATTTCTTAAACATACATTATGGGAGATTCGATAACGAGTTGGCAGTTATCACTATAATAATTAAAAACTAGATAACATAAAGGCAATTTGCTGAAAATTTCATTCAAATTGATCCACTATGAACCGAGAACTAAGCGAATAAAATTTCTGCCTAGCCTCGGTCATCATTACTAAAGTCAGTATGTTAAACAGCATAGTCTCGATTATCCATTTAATCGTTTAATCGAGAAGGAAAGTTATGCAGTAAATCGGATCACAATCCACTTAAGATCGCAGACTAGCGATGCCATCTAGAGTTGATTATGGTCTGGATAAGTTAATTAATGTCTAATTAATAATTTAGATAACATTTCAGGCCTAAAGAAAGACCTGCAATAGACAGATTTAGCTCTTGCATAATGTATGTTTAAGTTTCATAAAATGACCTAGCAAATGGTATGAAGGAAAAACAAAAAAACATTAATAAAAAAATTGAAAGTATACTTACAATAAGTTTTCCATGTAGGAAGAGGCATGCTTTCCCCACCATCTGGAAATAAAGTAATATAGTCATAAACATGTTTTCTATTACGACGACGACCTTTTTGAGAATTCCTTCTCTCCATTCTGTGTTTAATAATAAAACTTCTCTTGGTATTCAATTAAAAGCACTAAAATAAAGTCACAATTTGCACAAATTTCACTAATCAATAAATAATTCCTGTTTGATTTAATCCACAAACTCTTGTCTCGATTATTTAATCGGGATGTAATATTTTCCTCTTAATCCCAAAATAGAACCCGTAACCATGAATGTAACTTTATTATAAACACTTTTATTTCCAATTTTATTGTTAAGAATAACATCCTTGTAGTCACAAATAAAACTGTGTCTTTTGTCGATCATACATTATAGATATTTACGTTTCATATATATAAGTCATGAACCATTGATATTTCACTATTTCACTAGAAATATCGTTTAAAACCATTAATTTCCAATATGAAACTATAACACAGATATTTCTATTAAGAAAGAAACAATATTATGTATCCATATATCTAATACAGGTTTGATTTATCCTCACACATGAAGACTTTCACATATACGCCATTTAAGTAGGAGTTACTAAGTCAAAGAATGGCTTCTAGTCTACTACTGTATAAGAAGGAAGTGAATTAGTGACCCCTATTACAAGAATATAAAGTAAGAGTCACTTGGTCTACATAGCGTGAGAGAGAAATGGTGGTTAACATTCACTCAATACAAACTAGGTCATTTTGGGACTAACATATGATTTACTCGAACAGTGGGAGGAAAGCAGAGGATCCAGAGAAAACCCACAAGGTTCGACAGGCGACCCTATTTCTTGTCACATACAAGCGGGGAATCAAAACCACAGAACTTGACTCAATAACAGACCTTATGATCTAAAGAGTATGCTTTAGATCATTCAGCCACCCAATGCCCCCGAACAATTGCTTTAAACAGAGAGAGAAATGGGGTTTAACGTCCACTCAACACAAACTAGGTCATTTCGGGACTAACATATGGTTTAATTTTACTTCAATAATTCGCTTGCGCGTAGGGGTCTTTAGCAGTTGGAGGAAACCGGAGGACCTGGAGAAAACCCACGAGGTTGGACAGGCGACCCTACTCCTTGTCACATACAACCAGGGAATCCAAACACTGCCAGTTGACTCAATGACAGGATACAAAAGCAATTAGACAAGGAAGCTTATACATAAATTTGCTTCCCTGTGGGGGTGTACAATATGAAGTAGTACATGTATATAATGATATAGACAAAACATTATAATAGCTTTTTAGCTATGGTACAAATATATAAACAGATGAACAGCGGAATAACAAGTGTTCAGTGGTTACAGGATCAAGATCATTGTTACATCAAGTAAAATAATAATAATATGCTTGAGAAAAACGATGGTGTCTTAAATCACTATTATTGTTATGCTGTCTGTCATAAAAAAATTGGGGAATAAAGTTGAATAAAATGAAGTTTGAACAGATCATTATTTGAAGTATTAAGGAGATTATCTAACCAAAATAACAAGGTGTCATCTGTGAATAATCTTATTTGGGAGCTAATTTCATCTCTAATATCGTTTTATAAAAATTGAAAAAAGGAAAGGTCCCAGTGGGGTACACCACAGTACATATTTCAAAAAGGCGAGGCATCATTATTAATAATAACTGGTTGCTTTCTTTTGGATAAAAACTTTTGATATCATTTTAAACACCATTTCTAATTCCAAGTTAAGTTAGTTTATGTATTAAGCCATAGAGCCTAAAGAAAGACCTGTAATAGGCAGATTTAGCTCTTGCATAATGTATGTTTAATGAAACACAATGAAAATATCAACAGATAATCGATTGGATTCAATCAGATTAAAAGAGGCTCATCAACAGATTCATCAACAATCATAGGTGGTGCTGGCTTTATACATATTGAACAGAATTGAAGGTTATAGGTGGCACTGGCTTCTTTATATCATCTGCAAAGGGTTTTGAATTTTACAAAAGTTTCAATTCATGATATCTTTGTAAATACTGGACTGATATCCCTTCTAGAGATCTAACTTTCACAGTTGTATTAAATGGCATAATGATTAGCAGCTTTAAAACATATAAAGTACTTCCCTTCTGAAATAGCTTCCAAATGATAAATTTTCCATGTGTTTGTTGAATCACAATTTTACAATTATTTCCGATAATACGTTGTTAATTTTGTGGTAAGTTTGTTTATTTTAGGATATGCAATAGGATAATGAGTAATGGTGTTTAAAGATCCATTCAACATTAAGGTAAAGGGAATAGGCTTACATAGAAATCTTTTGATTGACAGTTGTTGATATGAAAAGTACGTTCAAATGATGAACAAATGTACAGTTTCTTCAGTAATTCTGTTAAAATTTCTGATTGTTATTTGATGGACTTATAAAATTATTGAAGTTAAATCCTTAAAGGTACCTTCATGCATACAAACTGGGTGATTTGATGATATACATGTATTTGGACTAAAAACAAATTTAAACTAATTAGTCTATCAAGAATTTGCTTCAAATCCCACTCAAAACATTGTATTTGTGAGGAAAATACCCCAAGCTATAAAAGATCTATTAAAAGAAGTTAAGTTTGTGTCACGTGAGTTGGATGTTGCAGTAACTAGCAACGGGTGCGAGGCAGGAGGAGAATTCATTGAAGATGATGTTGTCTTTAATCGCTGCCCATTTATCATAAGTATCGAAGTCTAAGTAAATTCTCGGATTATCTCCTGCCCATGCCTTTTCCGTGGTTTTTAGCTCAGAAACTGTTGTATGCTTAAGTCTCTCACTTTTTCGATGTGTGCTCACCGTGAAGTTTATCGACATATAAATCAAGTCCTCCCTAAGGCCAGGAGGTCAGGCAATCTACGCGTGCAACCTTTGAACCTTTGACGTCACTCAAGCAGACAGCCCTTAATTGTCAGGCTGCCAATTAGTGACACCCTCTCATTTTTGTCCTATGCATGCTCCATAGGTGTTTTTTAAGGAATCCAGTATTTTTCTAGTAAGATTGCGTGTCTCTACTTTCCATATATACCAAAACTGACATACTTTTATTGGAGAGAGAGAGAGAGAGAAAGAGATGGGTTTAACGTCCACTCGACACAAACTAGGTCATTTCGGGACTAACATATGGTTTAATTTTATTTCAATAATTCGCTTGCACGTATGGGTCTTTAGCAGTGGGAGGAAACTGGAGGACCCGGAGAAAACCCACGAGGTTGGACAGGTGACCCTACTCCTTGTCACGTACAACCGGGGAATCCAAACCACGCCAGTCGACTCAATGACAGACTTTATGATACAGCACACGCACGCTAACCATTTAGCCATCCAACCCCCCTACTTTTATTGGAAATAACTAGCCAATAAATACTTTTGTGAGAAAGTATCTTTAAAAGGATTATATTTTGGTTGAGGGTTTTAAATTAAATGCTAAAATATCAATTTGTGTATATTTTAGGGTGGATTAAATTAGATATTGTCAAATCTGAATAATTGTAATGTGATACGTGTGTATGTTTATTTATAAGCAAAAACAAGAATTTTTACATAGATTCTTGTGAAGAATCAATTTTTAACATTAAAAACTGCAACATAAAACACAACCTGTGTTGTAAATCTTCATTGAAAAAACCTGAATGCCCACCCCTACATTTGTAATTTGGTTGAAAGGAACAATCAAAAAACCTGAATGCCCATCAACATATTTATCATTTGGTTGAAAGGAACAATCAAAAAACCTGAATACCCACCCCTACATCTATAATTTGGTTGAAAGGAACAATCAAAAAACCTGAATGCCCATCCACATATTTATCATTTGGTTGAAAGGAACAATAAAAAAAACCTGAATGCCCATCCACATATTTATCATTGGGTTGAAAGGAACAATAAAAAAAACCTGAATACCCACCCCTACATTTATAATTTGGTTGAAAGGAACAATCAAAAAACCTGAATGCCCACCCCTACATCTATAATTTGGTTGAAAGGAACAATCCAAATCCTGTCAAGTTTTTATCCCCACATGTCGCTAGCCTGGAGATCAGGTGTTCGACCCATGCATTGGCCGAGAAAGTTCATCTAGATTTTCCGGCCTGGTTTCCCCTTGTCAGTGATGCAGGACGGAAAGCCTAACATAGACAGCTGTCTAGTCCTTCGGATGAGATGAAAAATCGAGGTCCCGTGTATATTGGAATGCACGTAAAAGATCCCCTGGCAGTTGGAATTTGACATAAGAAGAGTAGGCGATAGTGCCGCTGCTCAGGCAAAATTTCCCTCATAGCATACTGTATGGCGTATGCCCGTCTTCATTAGCCCAGTATAGGAGCAGAACAGTAGGACGTTAAACCCCATTTCATTTCATTTCATTTATCCCCATATGTAAAAACTGAATGACAATACTTGCCTTCATATGGTTTCAAAAACGACATATACATAACTCCAGTTATAAAATCACATACACTCTATGGTGCCACAATACGTAGTTCTAAACAAAGAGGATGCAACATATATATTTTTTAATCATTTGAGTCGAGTACTGTATATGCTGTTAGATAGTCAATGATCATGTATCTTAATCCAATAAACTTCCTATATGTAGATGACACATGCATCATTTACATTTATCATAATACTGTTTTTATACTTGTATGCATTGTAGCTAAAAAAAAACGAATCTCATGGTCAATTCCTTGTGGATAATGTTTAGAATCCAATTCTTCTAGTCCAAATGAAATACCCTAAGCTCTGTGATACCTACTGAAAGAATTACGTCCATCCAATTGAAAGACGAAACAGATTAAAACTTCTTGACTAACCATCACCTTATCAACCTGTCTATAACTCAGGAGCGTGGGTAGTAACAACTTCCTGTTACTCTTTTCTCCTTCTTACTTGATCTACATGTACTTAACTCGCAAAAGTCATGTTCCTTCTTAAATGTCACTTAGATAATGTAAGTTTCATCCTTTTCTAATA